CCTGCCCCACCTGCTTTGCTTCGCCCACGCTGTCCTTTCGGGGGAGGGGGAGGAGCAGGAGCAGGAGCGGGGCTCGCGCCTGCTTGTCCCCTTCCCGCCGTTGCGCGGCCAGCCGGCCAACTCTTCCCTGCTTTTTAAGTGCTCGGCTCACAAATATACGCTTCCTGCTCAGAAGCGGATTCTTTGGCCGTGACGGTGCTTGTCTTCTCTTGCGCCCTAAAGGATGGCACCCCAACGTCCAAGACCTTTGAGCACGTGACCAGCGAAATTGGAGCGGAGGAAGCTGAGGAAGTCGGCGTGGAGCACTTGCTGCGGTAAAAACTTGGGGGCTGGTAGGCTGTGCTTTGCGTTTCATTCTTGCAGCCAGATCAGAGGCAGGTGCGGGTGAAAAACCAGTGCAAGGTGACATGGCTTTCCCTCTCGGGTCTTTCACTGTGAGGAGCTGCCTTCTCAGTTCGGATTACCTGGAAGAGCCCTCCTGGGGGGTGATGGTGGGAATAATCTGCTGCTTTGTTGGCCTGATCTCTCTTCCTTCCTCGCTCTTCCAGCGACATTAAGGATACCACAGTGGGCACACTTTCCCAGCGCATCACCAACCAGGTCCACGGTTTGAAGGGACTGAATTCCAAGCTCTTAGACATCAGGAGCTACTTGGAGAAAGTGGCTGTGGGGAAGCTTCCCATCAACCACCAGATCATCTACCAGCTCCAGGATGTCTTCAATCTGCTGCCAGATGTCAATCTGCAAGAATTTGTCAAGGCCTTTTACCTAAAGACCAACGACCAGATGGTGGTGGTCTACCTGGCCTCTCTCATCCGTTCTGTGGTTGCACTCCACAACCTCATCAACAACAAGATTGCCAATAGGGATGCTGAGAAGAAGGAGGGGCAGGAGAAGGAGGAGAGTAAGAAGGAGCGGAAAGACGAGAAGGAGAAGGAAAAGGAAAAAAGTGAGGCCAAGAAAGAGGAGAAGAAGGAGAAGAAGTAGCAGTAGTCATCGTCGTCAGGTTTTGTATCTGTAAATTAAAAACTTTACACTGCACCAGGCTGCTTTGGCTGAAGGTTCTTCCGTAACAGAGGCTTGGGAGGGGCCGAGAGCCAGGCGAGTTCACGGCTGCCTGAAACACGCAGCGGCTGCCGGGCAGACCAGAATGCAACAGGGGACCGTCTCATTCTGCCTGCCTGGGGAAGAGAAGCCTGGATCCTTTGGGGTCCAGGCGCCACAGTGACATCCTTGGGAGGCTGTGGGCTGCAGAGCAGGTGGGTCCATCACACGTGGGGGGCAGTTTGGGAGGATTTGTTTTTAAGCCAGGGTCTAGCTATTTCCGAGCGTCTGTTGCAATGTCTGCGTCTTCCTGCCTGACCCACAGAGAAACACGGAACATTCTCCCCAGCCATCCTTGTAGGCTGCTGTTTGAATGGAAGCCCCTCTGCATTGCTGCCAGGAAGCTGGATTGTTCAGGTTATGTTCCTTGGGTGCTGCCATCCTGCCAACTAAGCAGTGTTGCCCTGGTGTCTGCTTCATTTTGGGGCAGACATTGGGCAGAGGACGCCTCTTCCTGGCCTCTTCTGTTCTGAGGCACGGCGAGAGTGGAGGCTCATCCTGGAAAAGCTGGACCCCTAGACGGTCCAGATTCTTGTACTTGTGATTTGCACCACCAGGTGGCAGCTCTTGCACAACTTGCTCTGGAAAGCAGGCTGGGTGGCACTGTTTACACTTCCTTATTTGGAAATCGTGCAAAGGTCTTGCCAGTTGGATTGTTTTCTGAGCAGAGAGCCTAAAAGCTTGTGCTTTGCTCTGCGTTTCATTCTTCTAGCTAGATCAGAAACAAGCAGCAGAACTGGAGCTGCCAGGAAGGCAAGTCTCCTTGGTCTCTGCTGAGGACGGTTCCTGCAGAGAATGCCTCCCTCGAGGGCCACTGTCGAGGCGGAGTGGAGGAGGATAGAGAGGAGGCCCGAAATAAATCTGGCTGGATTCCCACAACTTGCTAAGCTCTAAAAGTTGATGAATGGACCACAGTGGCCACGTTCACAACATGCTTAGCCAAAATAGCCATATTATGGCCTAAGATGATGTCCTGGTTCCATGCACATTATAGTTTGTTGGGTTTAGTCTTAACCACTGAAGTTTGTAAACTAAGGAGCTAGTCCTAGATTTCTGTCCTAGCTTTCAGATTTTTGATAAAGTGCCCAAAGCAATAAACAGGCTTGACTGCTCCCTCCATCTGACTACTCAATGCATAGGCCCCCTTATAGGAGTAATCTAAATAGAGATCAGTTTCTTCCCCATTGTTCCATCACACGCTGAGAACAGATCGGTCTTGTCCTGGTGTCTCGTGGCTGTCCTGGCTCAGACCGACAGAATCCTGGCTCAGACCGACAGAAGACCTGAAGCTGGTGATCTGCCTCTTTGGTTCTTCTACCCAAAGCCTCAGAGAAGTTCAGGGGAAAAAAACAAAACAGGTTCCCTTTCTGGCAAATGCCCAAGAGGGGAGTGATCCAAAACTTCAGAAATCCAGCAAACCAAGAACTTGTCTAAGTTGGAACTTGTCTGTGAGCTGGGTAGCTCAGAACAAGCCCCCAAATCTGGGGGCCGAGGGAAAGGCCACGTCCCTGTGCCAAAGATGGAGGCTCACTCCTGCAGGCCCTGCTGCCCTTGAGATGTTCCCGAGTCTCCCCTGCTCCTCTGGCTGGGAGAGAGGAACTGCCACCGGGTGGTTGAATGGAGGCCAAGCGTCTGGTGTACTGGCTGTGGTGAGGCCTCAATTAGATCTGGTTCAGCAAGGGCACGGACCCAGCCATGGCTGGGAGAATGGAAGGGCAGCCTCAGTTCCTCAGCCCCGTCGCCCTTAACCTGTTGGAGGAAGGGCGACATCCAGACCTGCCGATCGCCAGTGGTTTCCTCCATGCCAGCGATGGCAAGTGGCCCAATTGCCATGCTGCTAAAGTAGTCCTGCCCCCTTCCCTTTTGCCCAAACATCTCTGGTTCACATTCTCCCTCCACCCCAAACCACTTGGCATCCCAGAAGAGACCGACATAGGGGCTGGGAAGATGGCAGTGCCACCATAAGCAGTTTCAAGTTGTTGGGGAGCAAACCAAGCCCCGGCCAGAAGGAGCGTTCCCAGGTCAGCAAGGGGCCCCCAGCCTGGCCTCCTGACTTCCCGCGGCAGTCCCCAGTGCCGCAGGGCCATCTGGTTCCCCAGGGAAGTGAATGATCCTTCCTCTGCAGCAGAAACGGCTTTGGGCCAAGCAAAACCCCTGGTTATGCCTTCGGGCAGCAACTCCTCTGCCCACAACGCACAGCTGCCAGGCGCTTTGGAGCCAAGGGTAGGGGAGAAGAGCCCTTTGTGCCAGACCAGGTTCCTCCCCTCCCCTCCCCTCCCCTCCCCTGATGGCACACAGGGGCGGCCTGGATCCTGCCAAGAAACAGCACGTCCTCCCTCTCCACCTACAACTCCCCGTCTCCCTGGGCGCCTTTCCGCCTTCCTGTGCTTAATGGGCTAGTGGCTTGCCATTCAGAAGGCTTCACCAGGCCCATGGTCCTCTGCCTATACGCCAGCCTTGGCACAGGTCCCCAAGCGAACCCACCCACTGGCAGGAGTGTGCCCAGGAGCACCTGCTGGCTGCACATTTCACCATTGGGCTCGGCTGCTCTGCTGCCATTAAGCAGAGAAGCAGGCATAGAGATGGGCTTCTGTGTTCCTTTTGCAGGCACGCTATGGCCGCCAGCCAGCAGGGCACAGAACGGGCAATGCGCCTCAAGTCAGCTGGAGAGGCAGGAGCTAATCCTGCCGGCCATGTGGCTCCCCTGGGTGCAACCCTCCTCACTCTCTCACTGCAGCCCCCGCCCGTTTCCATTTCCACCTGGGACTGAGCAACCTACTGGCTGCCGCCACCGCCCTTTCCCCGCCCGAAGCACAGAGACACCCAAGCAGCTGCGGATAGTTTATTGCACAAGAAGTTGGCATCACTGAGGCAGATGGTGCAGTACAAAACTATCTAAGGTCCCATCAAAAGCTATTGCAATTCTTGGTGTCCAGAGACATTTATATACAAATTTATATATTCACATACATGTTTTTATACACGTACATACACATGCCCTCCGTGGAGGCCAAGGTGCCCCCCAAGAGTGCAAGGTGCACAAGCACACCCTTCCTGGAGCCGGGGCGACCTCTGCTGCTCGCCCCTCGGGCTTCCCAGCCACAAACTCAAGCTGGGGCGACCACGCTCAGTCACGGGATTCAAACTTTCACAGGCAGATCTAACCGCCTGCCTCTGGGAGCATGCAGGCCCTTTGGTCAATTCTGTCTGGAGATCTCCAAGCGATACTTCCTCCGACTCAGGGCCCCCGTATGGGCCTGCCCCTCAGCTGTGGTTCCTAAGTGCCCAGAGGCTGTGCCTCAACTGCAACCACAGCAGGAGCAGGGGCTGGTCCGTGAAGGAGCCAACGCTGCTGGGCACCATCTAGAAGCTGGGAGGGTCACCCTGAGTCACGTCTTCCACTTGCGAGGCCAGAGAGCAGCCCATGGAACATGCCCCAGCCCGTGGCAGAAAATCAGCTGGTCTACTGAGCGCAAAGGCCTGCTTGGTGAAGAAAAGCAGGAACAGGCCTTGGGGCCAGCCAGTCTGTAGCAGTTCCCAGCCCAGCTGGAGCTTGGGCATTCGTGGCAATATTAAGGCTGTTGGAGGGGG